GGCCTCCTGGATAGCTCTTGAAACATGGAAAGGTCAGTTGTGGGAAACCTGGTAAAATTCAAATGAAGTCTGGAGTTTGGTGAATAGTTCAGTCCCAGTGTTGGCATCTTGGTTGTATAAGACACTGGGGTAAACTAAGATGTTAGCATTAGAAAAAGCGGGTGAGGAGTTAATATAGGCCCTGAACTTTCTATGCAAACTTTCTGCAACTCAAACAATCCATACTTATTTTTTTAAATGGAGGAAAAGAATGTGAAGTAGATTGGGAAAAATCTTAATAATAATTATTTGGAATATAAAATATGAGCAATCTTTCCCATTGTTCTTTATATTTTTTAAATTATTCATTTTCTCATCACTAATTTAACATCACAATGAAGAATATTATAGTAAATGTTATCAATACAAATTTTTGTCTTTGTATAACCTAAAACACATGGATTTCCAATAGCTTTTAAATTCCCTGCTGAATAACATTGGGAAAAATTGATTTTATCAACAGTTTAATTCAGTAATAACCCATCTGAAATAATTCAATTTTTTGATATACCCTAATGCTTATTTTTAGGTTCTTAAAATGAATAAAACTTCTGTTCAAAATGGAGATCAATATGATTCAGTTTGGATATATTTTACTCTGTAATATTTGAAAAGTAATATTGCTTTAATCATTTTTCTTCTGTTGGGAATATCTCCAAATACACTTGCAGGCTTAAAAGTGAATTTTTGGCTGATACAACTTACTTGGCAATTTTTTGATCTTGGATTTCCCCACATTTCTGTTTATTATACGATATTCAAAAATGACCTTACGAAACACATTCAGCGTAATAAGGCTTTAGTTGAAACATTTAATAATTAAGAAAAAACAAAACTGAAGCCAAGCACTAAACTGTGAAATTAAGTAAGGTCAGCGCTCGCCCTTGGGAGAGCTGGGAGGGGGTGACACGGGGCTTGCGGTGATGGTAAGGCCCATCCCTTCAGCTACTGCTTCTGCAGAATTACAGAAGGAAACTAGTGCTTCTGAAACACACTGGCAGGAAGAACGCAGGTGGGCACTTCGTAGTCATTAGGGCAACGTAAGACTTTGAGTTACTAAAAGTCAGCCCAACAGCCGGAATGGACACAAAAATCAAATAAGCTGCTCAGATTTAAGCCACATAGAATTTTCTAATTCCATAAATGACCCTACTAAATAAAAAAAAAATCACTGGAGTTCAAAGGACTCTTAGGTACATGAGCACGAATTTTGGGGTAGTGCTCAAAAAAAATAAATAAAAAAAATTCCTCTCTACCAAGGGATAGTATCTAGAACAACATGCAAGCTGTGAATGTTGACTATGAACACTATGCAACACATGTAACGAATATATAATATTTATGCATTCTATAGTCAAGGTTTGTGAAAGGTTAAGGTAAGCGATGATAATAGCAATAGTGATTATTTCTGGGTCAAGCAAATCAGTACGTTTTTATGCACTTAGAATATTTTGCTGTTTCCTAAATTTTCTACAAACCAATATTATTTACTTAAAAATTTTCATCAATATCAGATTTTTGGATGTGATAAAAACATAAACATGTACAATATGCACATTTAAGCAAATTTAAAAATTTTAATTGAGAATATTTGAGGAAAGTGTGACTCAGGGCTTATTTCTTACTTTATTTTTTTCTTAAATTTGCTAAAATAAGTCTATATTTCATTTAGAATAATAAAAATCAAGGTTCCTTTTTAGAACTACTATTTAGAAGCAGGGGGATACTGGCAGATACGATTAAAGAAGACAGACGGCATGTGACCTTATTAGATATTGAAATACAGAGCTGCTTAACATAATTTACTTGAAGAAGAGAAATAGAACAAGTCAATGAAATAAAGTTCTTCAGATAGATCCAGTCATATCTGAGGAACTTGATACAATGCAGCAAGTTTTCTAACTCAGAGGCGTTAACAAGAATCGTTTAATATATTTGATTGAGATAGCAGTTTAGAGGGGAAAAATAGATGAGAAAGGAGGAAGTTAAGGACAGTACGAAATGATTCATGAAAGTAAACACAAGAAGGATTTATGAATTAAAATCAAACAAAACACGAAGCTTCGAGTCAAAGCAGTAGAATATAGAGTAGACCACTTAAGAAATCACAAACATATATAGGTTTAGTTCTGATGTATTGGAGAAAACCCCAAAAAACGTTGAAAATAATTAATATATACAGAGGCAGAGTCTCTGCACAAGTAAAAACCCTGTGGAAATATTGCACAGAAATTTTGATAAACGGCCAGGCATTTGGTGCTGCAGATAAGACGCCCCTCGGAACATCGCGCCTGTATCAGTGTCTGGGATCAAGATCCAGCTCCGTTCCCAACTGTAGCTCCCAGCTAAAACCCTGGGAGTTAGCAGGAGATGCCTCCAGCACCTGCAATCCTGCCGCCACAGGGGAGACCCAGACCAAATTATGGACTCCTGGTTCAGCCTGGCACAGCCCAAGTTGTCAGCATTTGGGGAGTGACACACGAAATAGAAGTTCCCTTTGTGTCTCTGCTTCTGTCTCAGTCTCTCTCTCTCTCTCTGTCTCTCTCTCTTTCTCTCTGTCTCTGTCTTTGTCTCTCTGTCTCTGTCTCTCTCTCTGTCTCTCTTTCTCTCTGTCTCCTGTGTCTCTCTGTCTCTGTCTCTCTCTCTCTCTCTGTCTGCTCTGTCTCTGTCTCTGTCTCTTTCTCTCTGTCTCTGGGTGTGTGTGTCATTATCATTCAAATAAATGGAAACATAAAAATTTTAAAACTTTGATAAAAAATCAGTATGTGCAAACCATTGGACAGAAGACCTCTCTCTTTCTCTGCCTCTCCTCTCTCTGTGTAACTGACTTTCAAATAAATAAATAAATCTTTAAAAAATAGTAAAAAAAAATCAGTATGTCTAATTAGAAAGACTTTACTCAAAATCACTTTAAAAATTAGGATACACAGTTGGGAGAAGTTATAAATAAAAATTAGGGGCCAGCCTTGTGATGCAGAAGGTTAGGCCAGCACCTATGATGATGGCATCCCATATGGGAGCATGGTTCAAGTCCTGTTTCCTCCACTTCCCATGCAGCTCCCTACCACCCACACGGGAGACCCAGATAGAGTTCCAGGATCCTGGCTTCAGCCTTGTCCAGCCCTGGCTGTTGTGGCCATTTGGGGAATGAACCAGAGAATGCAAGATCTCTCTCTCTCTCTCTCATTCTCTCTAATCTCTCTCTCTCTGTCACTCTGCCTTTCAAATACATGAATAAATCTTTAAAATTAAATAAACAAAATGAGCAGGAAATAAAGTTAGAATTCATTGAAATAAGAAGAATTTCATTCTTATTAGTAATATGCAATACCCTAAAATAAATTTTAGAAACTGTTTTACAACTGTCAAATGAACCAAAATAAAATTTAACAGATAAAATGTTAATAAGAATGTGGAGAACTGGTATACTACACTTTTGACTGTATCTACTTACAATTGATTTTAAGAACACTATGGCAATAAGCAAGCAAGAATGATAAAGGTGCTCACTCTTTTAACTCAGAAATTTCATCTTATGGGATTTAAACTGAATATATAATTCCTCAGAAACAAAAATACATGCACAAAATTTGCATGTGCCATTACAGCAAAAAATGCATGTTAAAAATTGTGTGATAACAACTGAATAAATCTCTATGAGAATTACTTAGAAATATGAAACATGCTTACCTGTGTAAGTACAAAGTAAATCTAGTATATACGTTGTATCATTGTCAATTATGTATAAAACACAGAGAAATGCAAAATGCAAAAATAATTCATGTATTATAATAAAAATGTGTATGTTAATTTTAAAATGTTTAAACCTATCTGTTTCTAAACACAAAAATAAGGTAACCAGGTACAAAAAGTGATGGTTTCACCAAATAAAGAATAATTTATTTTTCTGGATCAGACATACAGTGAAAAAAGAAGTTTGCAGAGCACCTGGTGCACATCTGTGTAAAGGAAGTGCACCTGGTCTATCTCTCACTATGACACACACGTCTCTGCAGAAGTAAAACTACAGATAACTAAGGACGTGTGTTCTGTGGACCTCACAGAGTCACCGCAGAGTCTCCAGAAAACAGTGTAAAATTCCTGTTCTGGACCATGTCTGCCTGTCCTGTTCCACATGCCCAGAAAATGTTCTTTGAATATAAAAAGAAATCACACAGAGGATCTTTTAGGGGTAAGATCAGTCTGTGCAACGCAAACACCCTCTTTTCACCTTCCAAATGAATTGGAAATTGGGAAACAGAACTGACTATTTTGATGGCCCTGGCTAACTGTAGAATTCTGTGGAAGGAACAGAACATCAAGAAAGGCAGAAGTCACTAAAGAACTATGACAAGAAGATTGTAAATGTGTGGATCTCCTGGAAAAGCGTGCACTAAGAAAACTGGAAAATCACATGTGTGTGTGTATGAGTGTGTAAAATACTCTTTTTAGCAAAGACACAAAAATGAAGCGCACTCCTACAGGGGCCCCATCCTGATCTTTTCCTGCTTTCATGACATGAGTGCACCCGTTCACTGTCCAGGACGCAGATGGACAACGTCCAACTCCATGGTGACCTAGGTTCTTTCCCCATCTCTCTGTTCTTGTTCCTTGCAGGGATGGGTTGTGCATTTGAGGAAGACATGCATCCCTGTTGTCCCCTCTGTATTTCCTGCGCAGCACAGATAGATATTGGCCGATGCTCAGATAAACACTCGCGCCAACACGCTGCTCGATGCGGGAGAGAGCGTGCAGTGCCGACGTGTGTGTGTGTGTGTGTGTGTGTGTGTGGAATTCAAGCTGTGCTTGAAGTCTGACTGCCTTAGAGAGCGATGCCACAGGCTGTACTCGTGGATTCCCTGAGGCCATGTTCACCACTGGTTCCCCCACGCCAGGCGCTGTGTGTGTCACCTGTGGACACCATCCCCTCATTCCTAAATGCTTCTGTGCCCCAGACATACCTGTCTCTTCCACACCCTCAACGGCACGCTTCTTCCTGCTGCTCCAACTGGAGTTGCTCTCTCCTGGAGCTGCTGGTGCAAAGATGCCCTAGGAAAGAGAAAAACCCCAGGTTACTGGACACGCAGCACACAGCGCGCAGAGCGGGAGAGGCAGCCTGTGCCTGGGCGGCAGCTTGTCCTGGTGAACTCACTTTCAGTCCCGCGGTGACAGCTGGAGCTTCCCCCAGGGTGGCCTTGGGGGCTGCTGCTCCTGACCCAGGGAGCTCAGGCAGCTGCTCCGCCTGGTGGCCCTGCACTGCTGCCCGGAGGCTCAGCAGATCCGCCTGCAGGGCGGCCACCCGGTAGAGAGACACCACCGAGAGGCTGCAGGACAGCAGGGCCAGCAGCAAGGCCACGGCCAGCAGCTTGCCATCTCTGGAGAGGCAGACAGAGGGGCTTTCCTGCTGCGGGAGGAGGGGAACACACTCCTCCAGTTTCATTTCTTCTCCCTGCTTGAGGCGAGAGGGAAGGCGGGACTGCTCCCTTTCCGTGGAGTCATCCATTTCGGTACTTGAACTTGGAAGGTTGGGGCCTGCAGAGACAGTGGCCACGGGGGATGCTGGATCATTTCCTGTTATCTGTGTGTGCCCTGCACTGACTACATCGCAGGACCCGGCTCTGCCCCTCAGGAGAGTTCTCCTCGATTCTCTTCTCACGGCCCCTCTGCATCTCTGCCACCACCAACCGTGCAGCCGCAGCACTGGCGTTCGCCTTTCCATGGATTGCTCAATCTGCCTTCCTCATTTCACTTTCAGTTTTTGCAAGAATTTTAATACCATCTCAAACACTCCTGCTCAAGGAGATTTAAGGTCCCTTAATTCTCCCGAAACACTTGGAGTCTAGACGGGCACCCGGTGGGGACGGAGCCTGTAGCACATGCAAGGGCTTTAGCACTTATTCTTCAGTGCTAGGAGAGAACTGGCTCCGCTCGGGTCTACTTGGGGGCCACGTGACTGCATAAGGAAGGGAGAGGGAGCCTTACACGTCCTGCTGGGCAATAAAAATAATTAATGTGAAGGTCAGATAAGCTAAGTGCGCTAGCATTGGCGTCTACTTAGCTGGAGAGTGGTGTGTTTGCAGTCCTTCAGGAAGGCATGGAAACCCAGTGGGGATCATTCTTGGGATCTTACCAGTGTGATAAGAAATGCTAGTGCCTTTTGGATCAGATGTCGGGGCGAATGCGTTTTTAGGGAAGCACGCGCAGTTTTTTATTTCCCTCTGAGATTCACGGCTGATGAGTCAGTTAAAGCACATCCACAGACAGGATGGGCCTGCTTGAAGGTGTCCGTGTCACTGTGGCTGTGCTGACTTTCCACGGTCACCTGTGAACCCTGAGAGCGTAGGAGGACTAGCATTGTGGCATAGCATGCCAGGCTCCTGCCTGTGACCCGGCACCCCATTAGGGGGCTGGTTTGTGTCCTGGCTGCTCCACTTCTGGTTCAGCTCCCTGCTAACAGCCTGGGAAAGCAGTGGGAGATGGCCCAAGCTTCTGGCTCCTGGCTTCTGCTAGGCCCAGACCCAGCCATTGCAGCCACCTGGGGAGTGAACCAGCTGATGGATCTCTCTTTCTCTCCTTCTCTCCATATAGCTCTGACTTTCAAGTAAACAAATAAATAAATCAAAAAAAAAAAAAAAAGAAGAAGAAAAGAAATGAAGTTACAGGAACAGCACAATGCAAAGTGAAGACTCTGGAGCTCTGGAGGCCACAGGCTGGCTGCCCTGTCTGTGATGCAGCTTCGTTGTCTGGGAAGCAGAGGGGGCAGCAGCTGACCTGAGATTTGCAGGGAGGTTTGCAGGAAGGAAGAAAGGAAACCACATCTTGGACGCGTTCGTCTTCTCATTTGGTTTCATTCAGTGCATTCCAAGTGTGAATGAGCTATTATTTCATGGCTTCAGGTTGTGTTCCAATAGTAGCTTTGTCCAAGTCTTTCGGAATATCTGCAGGGGTTCCCCAGTAGACAGCTGCTGAGGGCCAGGCACATCCTCGCTTTTAACACCAAGGTACCTGACAGGTCTCTCTTCTCACTGTCTCACTGTGCAGTGACGTCATCCGAAGAACCCATTGCTGTCTTCGAGAATTTTGCTTTTTCCCTTTTCTTCAACCAGTTCCAATGACCTTTTCACCATGACTTGTTGCTTTCCTGGCCCCTATGAAAGCTGTTGTCTAATCTCCTAGGTGGAATTCTTTGATGAGGAAGCATGGGGACTCTTTTGTGTCTAACCCTAACCCTAACCCTAACCCTAGGGTCACACCATACAATTCTTTCGGCAGTCATGCTCCGGGACAGTCAGGATGAGGCACCCTGTACAATCTTGTAACGAAAAATGCAAATAGCTTGGGGAATGTATCAAAGTCTGGGAGCGATGGAGACTCCCGCAGATTGTGTGTGTGTGTGTGTATTAACCTTATCTAAATACGTAAAGAAAGCAAAAGACTCAAGGCAAGGCTAGAAACCAATGCTTCTGGCTATGTGCAGGACACGCGGGACTGCTTGCTCTGTGTGGCTGAGACATCGCACCCTCAGTGGCAGGCATCCAGAGGGAATGCTATGTCTGCCTTAGGAAGTACGGGTTCCTCCATTGCTCTGTTGGGCTGAGATCTTCCTGCCCCACCACCTGCAGAGACAGGTAAGCAGCCCATTTTAACACGAGCCCCTGGCCTTGGTTGCTGCTGTGAGCCACGCGGTGCCCAGTGGGCCAGCTGGGCAGCAGCATTGGTGTCTGCCTGTCCTCACCAGAGGTCACATGAGAGAATTTTCGCTAAAGGCTAGTAGAAAATTGAGAGGCATCGCTGGCTCTCGAATTTCCTATGAGAAAAACAAAAAGGAGTTATTACACCATAAACCAAAGACCTATTTCCTGCAGAGGAAATGGTTTGAAGATAATGTAACTGAAATTCTGTTAAACAAAGAGCATATTCATATGCCTTGAATAATCCACCATGCCACAAGTTTACTCAGCGAGAAAAAGCTATGGTGCATGAGCCACAGATTATACAGCAAAGTTTATGACACAGTCAGTGTTCACTGCGTTTTAAAGCTGTTCCTCAACTCAAGTGTAAAGTGTTCGGTAATAGAGATATATCGCATTAACACACACACACACACACACACACACTGTCCCCTCCTCTCCCAGGAGTGAGCACATAGGGCCGAAAAGAGTATCAGCTGTGAGTTTATTCAAGGGCCAGAACCACAGAGCAAAATAAATTTTCACCTATTGACTACTTGCTTCTAACATGGACAATTTCAAAAGCTCAATTACAAATGTTTGGCTCAAGAGTCACGTGAAGAACGAAGGTTTGGAGAACCTGTCCTGTGCTCATTCCTTGAGCAAGGAGATGTCTTTCAGAAGGGTCTGGACCGCTGAAGACCGGGGAGCACAGCTCTGCGGCATGCAAGACGTGCCCCAAACAGGGACAGCAACAATGTGCACCCAGGAGCGCTCAGGACAGAGAAGAGCTGCCTACAGATGACTGCCACCTGTCAGAGAGAACTGTACTGCTTCAGAGAGAGTCTGGCTGTTCTAGCTGCACTTGATTTGGAAGCCAAACGTTACTTGTGTAGTTGAACCAAGAAGCAGCAATATTACTCAAAATAGACAGCTCTGGCTATTGCTTGTGTTACTTACACCAGACAAAAGGTAATATGAGTGACTGGAGAAGATCATTTCTATTTCCTCACAAATAGATTTAAGACACAAGTGGGGGAAGGAAGTTGGCTTAGCAGTTAGATGCCAGCTAGGATGCTGGTGTCTCACATCTCTCTAGAGTACTCAGCTTCAATGGTCGGCTCCGGCTCCTGACTCCATGTTCCAGCTAACGCACACACTGGGAGGCTGCAGGTGATGGCGCGAGTAATTGGGTTCCTGCTCCACATGTGAGAGAGCTGCACTGGGTTCTTGGCTCCTGGCTTCAGCCCCTGCCCAGTCCTGGTCTTTGTGGACATTTGAGGATTGAACAAACAGGAAGACCCACTGTGTCTGTCTATCTGTCTCTCTGCCCCCCCAAATACACAGAGTTTAAAAAGAGGAGGGAATGTGCATGCCCTCACTGGAACTTCATTTTACCACTGTTGGGTAAGAAGAATGTAGAAAGAGTCCATGTTTCTAAGCATCTGGACACCAGAGTTTATATATCAAGTTCAATTGTGATCATGTCCTCAATTTTTCATGCAATTGTTTTCATACTTAATATTTTTGAATCACAGCTTAAGTATGTGTTTTTTAAAGAATTTCTGTTTATTTCAATACTATTTTCAATTACAGTATAATCCACTTTGCTATTCATTTCCTTTTCATTACTTACAAGAGTAATTTAAATTATATTAAGATGAATATGTCACTTCGGGTGAATTTTCCTCTTCTCCATACCCAACCATACGGGTTATACATTTAGACACAGGGGTATGCAAATAAGCTGGGTCATATTAAATCATCTAAAAAACATCGTTGGGAAATGATAATTTCATTCTACCCATGCAGGAAACATTACTTATGACCCCCTCACCCCATTAAAAATAAAGCAGAGGTTGCAAAAGCTTGACCTACTTGTTGGACATTTGCTTGTTGAATGTGAGAAGTCAGGGTGTCCGTCGGCGCTGCTGGGTGCCGGCTCCTTCCTGCCACAGTCTGGAAGCTGCCTCGTCCGAGCCGACTCAGCCGCCATCAGCAAGACCCACTGTCTGTGTTCGGTTGGCCATGGAAGCACCACCAGCAATTGCTAAGGACGGAAGGACAAGAGGGGCTTTCGCGCCATGTCAGGTGGTCTTTGGGTGTTCCTCACCTTAAAAGAAGCTCGTCTCCTTCCACTGGACATTGCGAATCTGCGTGTGACAAGCCAGCACTACGGACTCCGGCAGGAAGGCGGCAGGCTGGGATCCCGGAGGGACCCTGGGTCTCCTAGGACAGGAGGTGCCGCTGAGCTAACCAACTCTTCCTGGTCCTTATTTAGGTCTTCCTTTTTTCTATTGTTAAGTCGCTTTGAGACAAGACATCCAAAGGAATCCTAGTTGTGCTCACATGAGGATAATATCCTGAAAAGCAAGTAACTTCAAGAAAGTTCTTTTGGAAATTTTCCAAGTGTCCATATTTTACACCAGAGTGTGAGGAGCGAAGGTCAGCACCCATAGACGTACAGGTGAAGGCACCACCTGCAATGCTGGCATCCCATATCAAGGTGCGAGTTCTAGTCGCAGTGCCTCTGCTTCTGATCCAGCTCCCTGCTAACGCACCTGGAAGGCAGCGGATGATGGTCTGAGTGCTTGGGCCCCTGCACCCATGAGGGAGACCCGGAAGGAATTTTGGGATCCTGGGTTTGGCCTGACCCAGCCAAGTATCTCTCTCTCTCTTTCTCTTTCTCTCCCCCTCTCTCTCCCTTTCCTCTTTCTCTAATTCTGCCTTTCAATAAATCAAACAAATGTTTAAAAAAAAGAAGTGTCATGTCCTGTTCTACCACACAGATACGACTGGCTACATACTATCAGGAAACTTAAGAGAATAACATTGTTCACATTGCTATTATGAGAAGATGTATTTAATTATTCCATCTTGTCTACCCACCTCTTTCAGGAAGTTATGAAGTTAGAATTGTTGATTTCCAAGAAGGAGAGAATCAGAGAAACACCAAGGAGGCCCAGCGTGTTCTGAGAGAAACGCAGCAGGCATGCCACGGGTTTTCTCCCTCACTGTCTCTTCAGAGCTAACCTGCGGGGAGCCTAGAGAACGCGTTGCTCAGTGAGGTCTTTTGCAGCAGTCGGCCCCAGAGAGGAGAAGAAGGTGAGGGTTTTCCTCCACAGGGAGAGCGGACGGTCCTAGAACAGAGAAGGGAGAGTCAGTGGCTATCGGGGGGCCAGCAATCTGTGGGCCCCACGAGCTTCACACGAAGGCACCATTTCCTGGACCTCAGC